GTCTCTGCTGTTGTACTTTCTAGAGTGGTGGTACCAGAGGTGGTACTTTCTGTTGCCGTAATGTCCATTGTGGTGCTGTCTGTTGTTATTGTGGTCTCTGCTGTTGTACTTTCTAGAGTGGTGGTACCAGAGGTGGTACTTTCTGTTGCCGTAATGTCCATTGTGGTGCTGTCTGTTGTTATTGTGGTCTCTGCTGTTGTACTTTCTAGAGTGGTGGTACCAGAGGTGGTACTTTCTGTTGCCGTAATGTCCATTGTGGTGCTGTCTGTTGTTATTGTGGTCTCTGCTGTTGTACTTTCTAGAGTGGTGGTACCAGAGGTGGTACTTTCTGTTGTTGTTATGTCCGTTGTTGTGCTTTCTGTTGTTGTGGTCTCCGTGGTAATACTTTCTGGAGTTGTGGTATCAGTGGTTGCACTTTCTGTTGTGGTGGTCTCCATTGTGGTGCTTTCTGTTGATGTGGTCTCTGTGGTAGTACTTTCTGGAGTTGTGGTGCCAGTGGTTGCACTTTCTGTTGTGGTGGTCTCCATTGTGGTGCTTTCTGTTGATGTGGTCTCTGTGGTAGTACTTTCTGGAGTTGTGGTGCCAGTGGTTGCACTTTCTGTTGTGGTGGTCTCCATTGTGGTGCTTTCTGTTGATGTGGTCTCTGTGGTAGTACTTTCTGGAGTTGTGGTGCCAGTGGTTGCACTTTCTGTTGTGGTGGTCTCCATTGTGGTGCTTTCTGTTGATGTGGTCTCTGTGGTAGTACTTTCTGGAGTTGTGGTGCCAGTGGTTGCACTTTCTGTTGTGGTGGTCTCCATTGTGGTGCTTTCTGTTGATGTGGTCTCTGTGGTAGTACTTTCTGGAGTTGTGGTGCCAGTGGTTGCACTTTCTGTTGTGGTGGTCTCCATTGTGGTGCTTTCTGTTGATGTGGTCTCTGTGGTAGTACTTTCTGGAGTTGTGGTGCCAGTGGTTGCACTTTCTGTTGTGGTGGTCTCCATTGTGGTGCTTTCTGTTGATGTGGTCTCTGTGGTAGTACTTTCTGGAGTTGTGGTGCCAGTGGTTGCACTTTCTGTTGTGGTGGTCTCCATTGTGGTGCTTTCTGTTGATGTGGTCTCTGTGGTAGTACTTTCTGGAGTTGTGGTGCCAGTGGTTGCACTTTCTGTTGTGGTGGTCTCCATTGTGGTGCTTTCTGTTGATGTGGTCTCTGTGGTAGTACTTTCTGGAGTTGTGGTGCCAGTGGTTGCACTTTCTGTTGTGGTGGTCTCCATTGTGGTGCTTTCTGTTGATGTGGTCTCTGTGGTAGTACTTTCTGGAGTTGTGGTGCCAGTGGTTGCACTTTCTGTTGTGGTGGTCTCCATTGTGGTGCTTTCTGTTGATGTGGTCTCTGTGGTAGTACTTTCTGGAGTTGTGGTGCTAGTGGTTGTACTGTCTTTTGTGGTTCTCTCCATTGTGGTGCTTTCTGGAGTTGTGATGCTTTCTGTTATTAAAAAATAGTAAAACATTTACCAAACTTTGTTTAGCACTTTTAATACATAAAATGCAGCTCATAGTGCTTAACAACAATTTAAAAACTACAAACAAAAAAATAAAACTTGCCACATTGAGAATGCAACTTCACTCAATAATTAAAACTGATATCAGAATTCTAAATTAATATTTTAAAAAGACTTGTCTTGACTTGTTTTTTTTTTTAATATGAAAGAGTGAAGCCTTTCTAATTTAAATTGGTTGACAGTTCCACATTTCGGGGGTTTAGTGGCTAAAAGGATCACCACAGAGTCACTTAGGATTTATTGTATAGTTTGCCAAATGATCATCACTAGAAGATCTGAAACTTTGATTTGGAACACATTAACATAACAATAAATTCTTTGCTGAACTGGCAACCAATGTAATTGTATTAAAACCATTAATATGGTCTCTCATTCTCAATTTAATTAGTATTTTGACGGCTGAATTTTGTAGCTTAGGTATAAGACAGTGTACAAAGCATTAAAGTAATCAAGAGGATAAAAAATAATCAATAAAATGTTTGTCGCTTGATTAATGTGAGATTTAAACTAAAATCGTAGTCCATAATTATACCTAGGTTCTTTACTTCTATCTTCTATCTTTCAGGAACAGCACATAGTTCTTAATATTTCATTGATACATAGTCACCTATTTTAATAAATTATTACCTTTCTCCCAATGTACGTCTTGAACGAATTTAGAATATTACCAGAGAGACCCATTTCTAGTCTGTTAAGCGAAATTAAATAATCAAGTGTCAAAAGATGCATTTAAGTCTAAAAGGATTAAGACTGATGCATTGCTCATATTGGTATTTCATCGCAAACTAAATTACTTTACCTATTTAAGAAAATAAATGTTAGAAATTGGTCTGAGAATATTACAGACAAAACAATGCAGATTTTCCCCATTAAGTTTCAGCTTCACAACTGTACATTTTAAAGCATTGGAGAAACTTCCTGCCATTTAAACAACATACTTTAGGTCTAGGGTCAAGTTAGTAATATCACTGGGAAACAGTTTGCAAAAGATTATTTATATTAGCTCTAAATGAACACTTCCATTTTTATGCTGTAGATATATATTCTTGATCTTCTATAGAAATGTTATCAGTATTATGTACAGAAGACTTAATTTATTATTATTAGTAGTAGTAGTAGTAGTAGTAGTACTATTATCATTATTATTATTATTATTAAATAGCAAAATCTTCACATTTAAAGCATTAAAGCATTGGAGAAACTTCCTGCCATTTAAACAACATACTTTAGGTCTAGGGTCAAGTTAGTAATATCACTGGGAAACAGTTTGCAAAAGATTATTTATATTAGCTCTAAATGAACACTTCCATTTTTATGCTGTAGATATATATTCTTGATCTTCTATAGAAATGTTATCAGTATTATGTACAGAAGACTTAATTTATTATTATTAGTAGTAGTAGTAGTAGTAGTAGTACTATTATCATTATTATTATTATTATTAAATAGCAAAATCTTCACATTTTAAAGCATTAAAAAATTTAATGGTGGTGGTACTTTCTGATGTTGTAGCATCTGTTGTTGTGGTTTCCACTGTTGTACTTTCTGGAGTTGTGGTACCGATGGTAGTGCTTTCTGTTGTTGTACTACCCATCGTGGTGCTTTCTGTTGTTGTTGTACTTTCTGTTGTTGTGGATTCAGTTGTGCTTTCTATAGGTGTAGTATCTGTTGTGATGCTTTCAGTTGTTGTTGAAGTTTCTGCTGTTGTACTTTCTGAAGTTGCGGTACCGGTGGTGGTGCTTTCTGTTGTTGTAGTATCCGTTGTGATGCTTTCTGTTGTTGTGGTCTCTGTGGTAGTACTTTCTGGAGTTGTGGTGCCAGTGGTTGTACTTTCTGTTGTGGTGCTTTCTGGAGTCATTGTGCTGTCTGTTGTTGTAGTGTCTATTGTTGTGCTGTCTATTGTTGTGGTGCTTTCTACTGTTGTGGTCTCTGTTGTGCTTTCTGTAGTTGTAGTATCTGTTGTGATGCTTTCTGTTGTTGTAGTGTCTGCTGTTGTACTTTCTGGAGTTATTTTAACGGTGGTGGTACTTTCTGATGCCGTAGTGTCTGTTGTTGTGGTTTCCACTGTTGTACTTTCTGGAGTTGTGGTACCAATGATAGTGGTTTCTGTTGGTGATGTACTTTCTGTTGCTGCGGGTTCAGTTGTGCTTTCTGTTGTTGTAGTATCTGTTGTGGTACTTTCTGTTGTCGTAATGTCCGTTGTGGTGCTTTCTGTTGTTGTGGTCTCCATGGTAGTACTTTCTGGAGTTGTCAGAAAGCCAATGGTTGTACTTTCTTTTGTGGTGGTCTCCATTGTGGTGCTTTCTGGAGTCGTGGTACTTTCTGTTGTTGTAGTGTCCATTGTGGTGCTGTCGGTTGTTGTGGTCTCTTTTGTTGTACTTTCTGTTATTGTTGTACTTTCTTTAGTTGTGGTTTCAGTTGTTCTTTCTTTAGTAATAGTATCTGTTGTTGGGCTTTCTGTTGTTGTAGTGTCTGTTGTTGTACTTTCTGGAGCTGTGGTAACGGTGGTGGTACTTTCTGATGTTGTAGTGTCTGTTGTTGTGGTTTCTACTGTTGTACTTTCTGGAGTTGTGGTGCCAATGGTAGTGGTTTCTGTTGTTGATGTACTTTCTGTTGTCGTGGATTCAGTTGTGCTTTCTGTAGTTGTAGTATCTGTTGTGGTGGTTTCTGTTGTTGTACTTTCTGTTGTTGTAGTGTCTGCTGTTGTACTTTCTATAGTTGTGGTACCGATGTTGGTGCTTTCTGTTGTTTTAGTATCCATTGTGGTGCTTTCTGTTGTTGTAATTTCTAGAGCTGCGGCACCGGTGGTACTTTCTGATGTTGTAATGTCTGTTGTTGTGGTTTCCACTCTTGTACTTTCTGGAGTTGTTGTACTGATTGTGATACTTTCTGTTGTTGTCCTACCTTCTGTTGTTGTGGTCTCAATTGTGCTTTCTGGTATTGTGGTGCTAGTGGTGGGTATTTCTGATGTTGTGGTCTGTGTGGTAGTACTTTCTGAAATGGTGGTGCCTTCTGTTGTTGTGATCTCTGTTGCGGTGCCAGTAGTGGTACTTTCTATCGTTGTGGTCTCTGTTGTTGTCCCGGGGGTGGTACTTTCTATTGTTGGGGTCTCTGTTGTTGTACTTTCTGGAGTAGTGGTGCCAGTGGTTGTACTTTCTGTTGTTATGGTGTCTGTTGTGGTGCTCTCTGTAGTTGTGGTTTCCATTGTTGTACTTTCTGAAGTTGTAACGCCGGGGGTGGTACTTTCTGTTGTTTTGGTCTCTGCTGTTGTACTTTCTGAAGTGGTGGTGCCTTCTGTTGTTGCAGTACCAGTGGTGGTACTTTCTACCGTTGTGGTCTCTGTTGTTGTACTTTCTGGACTAGTGGTGCCAGTGGTTGTACTTTCTAACTCTGTTGTGCTTTCTGGAGTTGTTGAACCAGTGGTGGTGCTTTCTGTTGGTATGGTGTCTGTAGTGGTGCCTGTAATGGTACTTTCTATTGTTGTGGTCTTGGTTGTTGTGCTTTCTGGTGTTGTGGTACCTGTAGTGGTGCTTTCTGTTGTTGTAGTGTCTGTTGTGGTGCTCTCTGTAGTTGTGGTTTCCATTGTTGTACTTTCTGAAGTTGTAACACCAGGGGTGGTACTTTCTGTCGTAGTGCTTTCTGTTTTTGTGGTCTCTGTTGTACTTTCTGAAGTGGTGGTGCCTTCTGTTGTTGTGGTACCAGTGGTGGTACTTTCTACCGTTGTGGTCTCTGTTGTTGTCTCGGGGGTGGTACTTTTTGTTGTTGTGGTCTCGGTTGTTGTGCTTTCTGGTGTTGTGGTACCTGTAGTGGTGCTTTCAGTTGTTATAGTGTCTCTTGTGGTGCTTTCTGTAGTTGTGGTTTCCATTGTTGTACTTTCTGAAGTTGTAATACCAGGGGTGGTACTTTCTGTTGTAGTGCTTTCTGTTGTTGTACTTTCTGGAGTAGTGGTGCCAGTGGTTGTACTTTCTAACACTGTTGTGCTTTTTGGAGTTGTAGAACCAGTGGTGGTGCTTTCTGTTGTTATGTTGTCTGTTGTGGTGCCTGTGGTGGTACTTTCTGTTGTTGTGGTCTCTGTTGTTGTACTTTCTGAAGTGGTGGTGCCATCTGTTGTTGCGGTACCAGTGGTTGTACTTTCTACCGTTGTGGTCTCTGTTGTTGTACTTTCTGAAGTGGTGGTGCCATCTGTTGTTGCGGTACCAGTGGTTGTACTCTCTACCGTTGTGGTCTCTGTTGTTGTACTTTCTGGAGTTGTTGAACCAGTGGTGGTGCTTTCTGTTGGTATGGTGTCTGTTGTGATGCCTATGGTGGTACTTTCTATTGTTGTGGTCTCAGTTGTTGTGCTTTCGTACTTTCTAACACGGTTGTGCTTTCTGGAGTTGTAGAAGCAGTGGTGGTGCTTTCTGTTGTTATTGTGTCTGTTGTGGTGCCTGTGGTGATACTTTCTATTGTTGTGGTCTCAGCTGTTGTGCTTTCTGGTATTGTGGTACCTGTGGTGGTGCTTTCTGTTGTTGTAGTGTCGGTTGTGGTACTTTCTGTTGTAGATCTTTCTGTTGTTGTACTTTCTGTAGTGGTGGTTCCAGTGGTTGCACTTTCTGTCGTTGTGGTTCTTTCTGGAGTTGTGGTACTGGTGGTGGTGCTTTCTGTTGTGGTCTCTGCGGTAATACTTTCTGTAGTGGTGGTGCCTTCTGTTGTTGTGATCTCAGTTATGGTGGTACTTTCTATTGTTGTGGTCTCAGTTGTTATCCGCGGCTTGGTACTTTCTGTTGTTGTGGTCTCTGTTGTTGTACTTTCTGAATTGGTGGTGCCTTCTATTGTTGTGGTACCAGTGGTGGTACTTTCTGTTGCTGTGGTCTCCATTGTTGTACTTTCTGGAGTAGTGGTGCCAGTAGTTGGACTTTCTAACTCTGTTGTGCTTTCTGGAGTTGTAAAACCAGTGGTGGTGCTTTGTGTTGTTATGGGGTCTGTTGTGGTGCCTGTGGTGGTGCCTGAGGTGGTACTTTCCATTGTTGTGGTCTCAGTTGTTGTGCTTTCTGGTGTTGTGGTACCTGTGGTGGTGCTTACTGTTGTTGCAGTGTCTGTTGTGCTGCTTTCTGTAGTTGTTGTTTCCATCTTTGTACTTTCTGAAGTTGTAATGCCAGGGGTGGTATTTTCCGTTGTAGTGCTTTCTGTTGTTGTACTTTCTGAAGTGGTGGTGCCTTCTGTTGTTGCGGTACCAGTAGTTGTACTTTCTACTGTTGTGGTCTCTGTTGTTGTCCCGGGGGTGGTACTTTCTGTTGTTGTGGTCTCTGTTCTTGTACTTTCTGGAGTAGTGGTGCCAGTAGTTGTACTTTCTAACTCTGTTGTGCTTTCTGGAGTTGTAGAACCAGTGGTGGTGCTTTCTGTTGTTATGGTGTCTGTTGTGGTGCCTGTGGTGGTACTTTCTATTGTTGTGGTTTCAGTTGTACTTTCTGGTGTTGTGGTACCTGTAGTGATGCTTTCTGATGTTGTAGTGTCTGATGTGGTGCTTTCTGTAGTTGTGGTTTCCATTGTTGTACTTCCTGAAGTTGTAATAACAGGGGTGGTACTTTCTGTTGAAGTGCTTTCTGTTGTGGTACTTTCTGAAGTGGTGGAGCCAGTGGTTATACTCTCTGTCATTATGGTGCTTTCAGTTGTTGTGGTCTCTGTGGTAGTACTATCTGTAGTGGTGGTGCCTTCTGTTGTTGTGATCTCAGTTGTGGTGGTACTTTCTATTGTTGTGGTCATGGTTGTTGTCCCGGGGGTGGTACTTTCTCTTGTTGTGGTCTCTGTTATTGTACTTTCTGGAGTAGTGGTGCCAGTGGTTGTACTTTCTAACAGTGTTGTGCTCTCTGGAATTGTAGAACCAGTGGTGGTGCTTTCTGTTGTTATTGTGTCTGTTGTGGTGCCTGTGGTGATACTTTCTATTGTTGTGGTCTCAGCTGTTGTGCTTTCTGGTATTGTGGTACCTGTGGTGGTGCTTTCTGTTGTTGTAGTGTCGGTTGTGGTACTTTCTGTTGTAGATCTTTCTGTTGTTGTACTTTCTGTAGTGGTGGTTCCAGTGATTGCACTTTCTGTCATTGTGGTTCTTTCTGGAGTTGTGGTACTGGTGGTGGTGCTTTCTGTTGTGGTCTCTGCGGTAATACTTTCTGTAGTGGTGGTGCCTTCTGTTGTTGTGATCTCAGTTATGGTGGTACTTTCTATTGTTGTGGTCTCAGTTGTTGTCCGCGGCTTGGTACTTTCTGTTGTTGTGGTCTCTGTTGTTGTACTTCCTGGAGTAGTGGTGCCAGTGGTTGTACTTTCTAACACTGTTGTGCTTTCTGGAGTTGTAGAATCAGTGGTGGTGCTTTCTGCTGTTATGGTCTCTGTTGTGGTGCTTTCTATTGGTGTGGTCTCAGTTGTTGTACTTTCTGGTGCTGAGTTACCTGTGGTGGTGCTTTCTGTTGTTGTAGTGTCTGTTGTGGTGCTTTTTGTAGTTGTTGCTTCCATTGTTGTACTTTCTGTCATTGAGGTGCTTTCTGGAGTTGTGGTACCAATGGCTGTGCTTTCTATTGTTGTGGTCTCTGTGGTAGTACTGTCTGGAGTGGTGGTCCCTTCTGTTGTCGTGATCTCTGTTGTGGTGCCAGTGGTGGTACTTTCTATCGTTGTGGTCTCGGTTGTTGCCCCGGGGGTGGTATTTTCTGTTGTTGTGGTCTCTGTTGTTGTACTTTCTGGAGTATTGGTGCCAGTGGTTGTACTTTCTAACACTGTTCTGCTTTCTGGAGTTGTAGAACCAGTGATGGTGGTTTCTGTTTTTAGGATATCTGTTATGGGGCCTGTGGTGGTATTTTCTATTGGTGTGGTCTCGGTTGTTGTGCTTTCTGGTGTTGTGGTACCTGTAGTGGTGCTTTCTGTGGTTGTAGTGTCTGGTGTGGTGGTTTCTGTAGTTTTGGATTCTATTGTTGGACTTTCTGAAGTTGTAATACCAGTTGTGGTACTTTCTGTTGTTGTACTTTCTGTCATTGTGGTGCTTTCTGAAGTTGTGATACTGGTGGTAGTGCTTTCTGTTGTTGTGGTCTCTGTGGTAGTATTTTCTGTAGTGGTGGTTCCTTCTGTTCTTGTGCTCTCAGTTGTGGTAGTACTTTCTATTGTTGTGGTCTCTGTTGTTGTACTTTCTGGAGTAGTGGTGCCAGTGGTTGTACTTTCTAACACTGTTGTGATTTCTGGAGTTGTAGAACCAGTGGTGGTGCTTTCTGTTGTTATGGTCTCTGTTGTGGTGCCTGTGGTGGTGCTTTCTATTGTTGTGGTCTCAGTTGTTGTGCTTTCTGGTGTTGTGGTACCTTTGGTGGTGCTTTCTGTTGTTATAGTGCCTGTTGTGGTGCTTTCTGGAGTTGTGGTATCGTCTGTATTTGTGGTTTCCATTGTTGTACTTTCTGAAGTTGTAATTCCAGGGGTGGTGCTTTCTGTTGTTGTGGTCTCTCTTGTGTAGGTGCCACTGGTTGTACTTTCTGTCATTGCGGTGCTTTCTGTTGTTGTGGTCTCTATAGTACTACTTTCTGTAGTGGTGGTGTCTTCTGTTGTTGTGATCTCAGTTGTGGTGGCATTTTCTGTTGTTGTGGTCTGCTTTGTTGTACTTTCTGGAGGGGTGGAGCCAGTGGTTGTTCTTTCTGTTGTTGTGGTCTCTGTTGTTGTACTTTCTGAAGTGGTGGTGCCAGTGGTTGTACGTTCTGTCATTGTGGTGCTTTCGGGTGTTGTGGTACCAGTGGTGGTGCTTTCTGTTGTTGTGATCTCCATTGCTGTACTTTCTGGGGTGGTGGTGCCAGTGGTAGTACTTTCTGTAGTGGCGGTGCCTTCTGTTGTTGTGATCTCAGTTGTGGTGGTACTTTCTGTTGTTGTGGTTTCCGTTGTATTGCCGGGGGTGGTACTTTCTTTTGTGGTGGTCTGTGTTGTTGTTGTTTCTGAAGCGGTTGTGCCTGTGGTTGTATTTTCTAACATTGTGGTGCTTTCAGGAGTTGTGATAGCAATGGTGGTGCTTTCTGTTTTTGTGGTCTCCGTTGTTGTACTTTCTGGAGTGGTAGTGCCAGTGGTTGTAATTTCTATCATTGTGGTGCTTTCTAGAGTTATGGTACCAATGGTGGTACTTTCTGTTATTGTGGTCTTTGTGGTAGTACTTTCTGGATTGGTAGTGCCTTCTGTTGTAGTGATCTCTGTTGTGGTTCCATTGGTGGTACCTTCTATTGTTATGGCCTTGGTTGGTGTGCCGGTGGTAGTACTTTCTGTTGTTGTGGTTTCCATTGTTGCACTCTCTGTAGTGGTGGTACCAGTGGTTGTACTTTCTGTCATTGTGGGGCTTTCTGGAGTTGTGGTACCGGTGATGGTGCTTTCTGTTGTTGTGGTCTCTGTGGTAGTACTTTCCGGAGTGGTAGCTCCTTCTGTTGTTGTGATCTCAGTTGTGGTGACTGTGGTGGTACTTTCTGTTGTTGTGGTCTCGGTTGTTGTCCCGGGGGTGGTACTTTCTCTTGTTGTGGTCTCTGGTGTTGTTCTTTCTGAAGTTGTTGTGCCAGCAGTTGTACTTTCTGTCATTGTGGTGCTTTCTGGAGTTGTGGTATCGGCCGTGGTTCTTTCTGTTGTTGTGGTCTCTGTGGTAGTACTTTTTGGAGTGGTGGTGCCTTCTGTTGGTGTGATCACAGTTGTGGTGACTGTGGTGGTACTTTCTGTTGTTGTGGTCTCCGTTATTGTACTTTCTGGGGTGGTGGTGCCAGTGTTTGTACTTTCTATCATTGTGGTGTTTTCTGGAGTTGTGGTACTGGTGGTGGTGCTTTCTTTTGTAGTAATCTCTGCTTTGGTGACTGTGGTGGTACTTTCTATTGTTGCTGCCTCGGTTGTTGTCCCGGGGGTGGTACGTTCTGTTGTTGTACTCTCTGAAGTTGTTGTGCCAACAGTTGTACTTTCTGTCATTGGGGTGCTTTCTGGAGTTGTGGTATCGGCCGTGGTGCTTTCTGTTGTTGTGGTCTCTGTGGTAGTACTTTCTGAAGTCGTTGTGCCAGCAGTTGTACTTTCTGTCATTGTGGTGCTTTCTGGAGTTGTGGTATCGACCGTGGTGCTTTCTGTTGTTGTGGGCTCTGTGGTAGTACTTTCTGGAGTGGTGGTGCCTTCTGTTGGTGTGATCACAGTTGTGGTGACTGTGGTGGTACTTTCTGTTGTTGTGGTCTCGGTTGTTGTCCCGGGGGTGGTACTTTCTATTGTTGTGGTCTCTGGTGTTGTACTTTCTGAAGTTGTTGTGCCAGCAGTTGTACTCTTTGCCATTGTGGAGCTTTCTGGAGTTGTGGTATCGATCGTGGGGCTTTCTGTTCGTGTGGTCTCTGTAGTAGTACTTTCTGGGCTAGTGGTGCCTTCTGTTGTTGTGATCTCATTTTTGGTGCTTGTGGTGGTGCTCTCTGTTGCTGTGGTCTCTGTTGTTATACTTTCTGGAGTGGTGGTGACAGCGGTTGAACTTTCTGTCATTGTGGTGCTTTCTGGAGTTGTGGTACTGGTGGTGGTGCTTTTTGTTGTTGTGGTCTCTTTGATAGTACTATCTGGGGTAGTGGGGCCTTCTCTTGTTGTGATCTCAGTTGTGGTGCTTGTGTTGGTACTTTCTGTTGTTGTGGAGTCTGTTGTAAATTCTGGAGTAGTGGTGCCAATGGTTGTGCCAGTGGTCTCTGTGGTAGTACTTTCTGGCTTGGTGGTATCATCTGTTGTTGTGATATCAGTGTTGGTGCCTGTGGTGGTACTTTCTATTCTTGTGGTCTCAGTTGTTGTGCCGTAGGTGGTACTTTCTGTTGTTGTGGTCTCAGTTGTACTCTCTAGAGTGTTTGTGCCACTGGTTGTGCCGGTAGTTGTACTCTTTGTCATTGCGGTGTTTTCTGGAGCTGTGGTACTGGTGGTGGTGCTTTCTGTTGTGGTTCCAGTGGTGGTACCTTCTATTGTTATGGCCTCGGTTGTTGTGCCGGTGATGGTACTTTCTCTTGTTGTGGTTTCCGTTGTTTTACTTTCTGTAGTGGTGGTACCAGTTGTTGTACTTTCTGTCATTGTAGGGCTTTCTGGAGTTGTGGTACCGGTAGTGGTGCTTTTTGTTGTTGTGGTCTCTGCGGTAGTACTTTCCGGAGTGGTGGTTCCTTCTGTTGATGTGATCTCAGTTGTGGTGGTACTTTCTGTTGTTGTGGTCTTGGTTGTTATCTCAGGGGTGGTACTTTCTTTTGTTGTGGTCTCTGGTGTTGTACTTTCTGAAGTTGTTGTGCCAGCAGTTGTACTTTCTGTCATTGTGGTGCTTTTTGGAGTTGTGGTATCGATCGTGGTGCTTTCTGTTGTTGTGGTCTCTGTGGTAGTACTGTCTGGAGTGGTGGTCCCTTCTGTTGTTGTGATTTCAGCTGTGGTGCCTGTGGTGGTACTTTTTATTCTTGTGGTCTCAGTCGTTGTGCCGAGGCTGGTGTTTTCTGTTGTTGTGGTTTCCATTGTTGTGCCTGCAGTGGTACTTTCTATTTCTGTGGTCTTAGTTGTTATGCTTTCTGGTGTTGTGGTCTCTGTTGTTGTAATTTTTGAAGTTGTAGTACGAGGGGTTTCTGTTGTTGTGGTCTCGGTTGTTGTGCTTTCTTGTGTGGTGGTGATGCTTGTTGTTGTGGTCTCTGAGGCAATACTTTCTGCAGTAGTGGCACCATTGGTCTTACTTTCTGCCATTGTGGTCTCTGTTGTTGCACTGACTGGAGTTGTGGGGATAGTAGTGGTGCTTTCTGATGTTGTGGTTTCTGTGGTAGTACTTCCTGGAGTGGTCATGCCAGAGGTTGTACTTTCTCTGTTGGTAGTGCTGTCTGTTGTTGTGATATCGGTTGTGGTGCCTGTGGTAGTACTTTCTGTTGTTATGGTGCCAGTATAGGTGCTATCTGTTGTTGTAGTCTGTGTTGGTGATATTTCGGGAGTTGTGGTGCTGCTGCTTATTGTTGTGGTCTCCTTTGTGGAACTTTCTGGAGTTATGGTGCCATGGTTTGTTGTTGTGGGCTCTGTGGTAGTACTTTCTGCATTACCAGTGGCCAAGATTATTGTTTCTATTAATGTAGTTTTTATGTTTGAGGTTGTTTCTATCAAGATAGTAGTATAGGAAGTGCTGTTGTTCCAGATATCTGAAAAATAATAACAATAATAATAATAATTTAAACAAGATACATTTAAATACATATATAGTGGTGCCCAAAATGATTAGAACACTAGTATTTTCACCAGCTAAAAAATAGTTTTAAGTCACTTATTTCTATCTTTTGCTGTAGTGTGTCAGTAGGAAATATCAGTTTACATTTCCAAACATTTATTTTGCCATTAATTGTAATAATCCAGTGAGATTTTTGTACATGGAGTCTGACAACAGCCAGAGCTCCACACAAAGATCTGATCTCATCATCATCCAGTCTGTCTGGAATGAAATGAAGAAACAGAACAAACTGAGACAGACTAAAATCCAGAAGAACTGTAGCAACATCTCCAAGATGCTTCAAGAAACCTACCTGCAAAGCTTCAGCACTGTTAAAAGTTTTAGGCTCTTGTGTAAAAATGCTGTAAAATGAGTTAACTTCTATTAACTAAATTAAACATTTGGTGTGAGCATCCTTTGTGTTTAAAGCAGCTTAAGCCCAAAGTGCACTTGAGCATAGTTTTTCAAGTAGCTTTGCAGGTAGGTCTCTTGAAGAATCTTGGAGATGTTGCCACAGTTCTTCTGGATTTAGTCTGTCTCAGTTTGTTCTGTTTCTTCATGCCATTCCAGACAGACTGGATCATAATGAGATCAGATATCTGTGTAGAGCACTGGCTGTTTTCAGACTCCTTGTGCAAACAAAAATCTCACTGGATTATTACAATTAATGGCAAAATGAATGTTAGGAAATTTAAAGTGTTTTTTTTTTTTTACAGATTTCAGTGTCAAACTAGTTTAATAGAAAGCATTAATTACAAATCCATCTATTTATCTACACGTGCAATAAATCCTACAGATTCCAACTCAGCACAATACATTACCAGTAAAGTCCATTGTTGTAGTGGCTGCTGTTGAGGTTTTCATTGGTGTGACAGTAGTATAGGTAGTGTTTATGTTCGCTACAGCTGAAAAACATTGATACATTTTATGTCAACAACGATCCAATTATGACTTAGATATACAAAGGTAAAATGTAAATGTATTTACCTGCACAGTATGCCAAAGAGCAGAAAGCAGGTTTCACAAACTCATAAACAAAATAATTGCCTGGACAGGCTTTGACTTTAATGGGATTGGAGTTGAAATAGCAGTTGCAGTTGAACCACTGATGTCACATGGGCTATTTTAACAATGTCCTTACTTTCTGTGCCTTGATCGTGGTAATAACCTGTCTATGGAGGGTCAGAGAGCTCTCGGATTTCATCAAAAATATCTTAATTTGTGTTCTGAAAATGAACGAAGGTCTTACAGGTTTGGAACGTCATGACGATGAGTAATTAATGTCAAATTTTTTATTTTTGGGTGAACTATCCCTTTTAGGCTGATGATACATGGGGCAACATTTTGAGTTGCCCAGCAAAACTGCTCAAACAGTTGCCCTGTACTTTCTATTTATTCAGAACCACCTATTAAATAAAACCAACAGCAATCTATAGTCTACCTTTATGGGCAGCAACAATGCAAAAGTAACAATAATTTTAGATTTCATCAAAAATATCTTAATTTGTGTTCTGAAAATGAACGAAGGTCTTACAGGTTTGGAACGTCATGACGATGAGTAATTAATGTCAAATTTTTTTTTTTGGGTGAACTATCCCTTTTAGGCTGATGATACATGGGGCAACATTTTGATTTGCCCAGCAAAACTGCTCAAACAGTTGCCCTGTACTTTCTATTTATTCAGAACCACCTATTAAATAAAACCAACAGCAATCTATAGTCTACCTTTATGGGCAGCAACAAGGCAAAAGTAACAATAATTTTAGATGCAACAATGTATATATTTTACATAGCTTTTAAAAATGTTTAAACTTTGTAATATTTTTCTTTAAAAAATTTTAAAGGGGTCATATGATGCTGCTAAAAAGAACATTATTTTGTGTATTTGGAGTAATGAAATGTGTTTATGCGGTTTAAGGTTCAAAAAGCACATTATTTTCCACATACTGTACATTATTGTTTCTCCTCTATGCCCCGCCTTTCTGAAACACGTCGATTTTTACAAAGCTCATCGGTCTGAAAAGCGAGGTGTGCTCTGATTGGCCAGCTATCCAGTACGTTGTGATTGGCCGAATACCTCAAGCCTGTGACGGAAATGTTACACCCCTTACCATACTGTGATGCCCTGTCCGGCCGGAGTAACAAGACAAAAACATTAAAAACCATTATAAACGAGGCATATACATAATTACGAGACATAATTACTGATTATAATGACTTATACTGTCTTTTTACGCGTTGCGTTGCATCGCGCCGAGTAAACACAAAACCATGTCTGCATTTGTGATCGGAGAAATGACAAACAACAAGCCCTACTCTACACTGCTCAAAACTCACGTTTGAATTGTCAGTGGCAAATCCTTTAAATATGAAAAACATAGTTAAAGTCTATGAGTCAGAACAGCTGGCATTGTAGTCTACTCTATCAGGATCAGTAAACAGTCCTCCATAAAATGCGCTGGACACATCTGAATATTTGGGTTAAACTGTTCTGGAACAGTGTTGTAAATACAACTTAACCACTGATTTCTAGACGTGTCCTCTTTTAGACGGCCAACCAAAGTAGTTTCGCTTTCACAACGAAACACACAGCGCCTTCACGACATGGCGGCGGTGGAATCAACAATACTACAGCGTGAATAAAAGTTACGACTTATTTCTTTGCGTGAATATTTGGGCGGTGTTATGCAAATCTTCCCACATCGTGACGTAGACATGTGGGGGCGTGTTAGATCGAGCCGTTTTAGGTAGGTGTGGCTGACTCTTAACTTTTATAAAGAACATCTCTTTGGATTTGAGACTTTAGTCTTTGCAACTTTACAGATCTTCTTTATGCACCAAGAGCTTGTAACACTCCAAAGAGAAAGGAAAAATTTAAATCGCATCATATGACCCCTTTAAAGCATTAAACATTTTTAATGCTCCTCTTGACGTTCAAATTCATTCCATTTTTAAAAGGCTATACATACTTTTACTCCAATTAATTTCCTTTTAATTTTTGTGATTGACAATCATGGAAATCAGCTGCAAATATATTCTGCAAGCAGCTCAGTGATACTAATGACATAAATCTGAATCAAAATCTTAACTGCACATTTCAACAGTTATTATTTACATAAAATCACAAACATGAATCTGATCTGCACATGCAAAACAATAGTCCTCCAGATTGTAAAAAATTACATTACCAGTCGTAATTGTATATGTAGTGTTGATGTTTGTTGCATCTATAAAAAGAGAGAGGGAGAAAGAGATTAAAATCAAATAAACATAGATAAAATTATGACTTGAAAATATATTATATTTACCTGCACAATATGCTAAATAGCAGAAAGCTGGTTTAACAAATTCATAGACATAATAATCTCCTGGACAGGCTTTGACTTTAATGGGATTGGACAGAAAAGAGCAGCAGTCATTGTCATAGTGACCGCAGACATCTCGAGTGACCACTCCATCCTCAACTGCTGGATGTCCTTCTCTCAGCCACAGTGGAGCATGAGTGCCACAGCTGTCCTGATCAACACATGTGTCTGGCATCTTAACGCTCTGACCCTCAATGAAGAGACGGTACCAGCCGTTCCAGCTGACCTCACAGTCACACATTATTTCAGAGGAATGTTGATTGTTGGTGGCTCTCCATGGATCATCTAGCACATTGTAGCTGTAGCAGGGCTCATCTGTTATGGAACATTAAAATGTACTTTTTTATGTCATTGCTTGCTATTTGAAATTAGATAAGTTGTAGTATGAATTTCATGAAAATTATTTCCTTAAGCTTATTGAAGTTGTTGAAATCTAAACACTGAGCATCACTTTTCCTTTAGCAGTGACAATGGGGATATAAACAGCCCAACGTGCCCTACTGTTGTAGGGTAGTGAAAATGAAATAAAATGGTAGTGGAAAATGTAAAATAAATGTGGAATGTGTAGCTCAGGATGTCAACTGTGACAAAATGAGTGATAGGTCGGTTTACGGTGGCAGGAGGCACACACCTACAGCATGTGGTATTTAAGGTGAAATTCCATGACGTACTAGTACATTCCATTAGTTGCATACACTATTGCGACATGCTCAAAACATACTTTTTTAAAACTTTTAGGGCAAATTTCAACACAGCACAAACTTTTCACAATCCATTTATTTTGAGTAACTTAAAACAGTTTGTTAAAGAACCCTGTCTAATTCCATTATCGGGATGGACTGGGAATATTAGAGACTTTCATGCCATGAAATCACAGAAAACATGTTTAAATTCTTAAATTACTGCACTTTTCAGTAAACTAAGTCGTGGGGTCATTTTGATTGCATTTGTAGTTTTTCCTCTATATTTTACTAAGTAAAAGTAATATTTTGCTTTTCTCCACACTAATTCAAAACAATTAATATAACAATCCAAACAGACTTTTACGTTTAGCCAGCAATTTCAATGCATGACGAAGTACTGAATACTTTTCAGCTAATGCAGCTTATTCTCTGTGCTATTGAAATAACATGCTAATGAAGATCTTTTTTGTTTTTCCACAACAATTTTTGTCTAATGAAAAGCTAGTGATCAAAATGGGAACCAGTGATACAACTTTTGTGAAGTGAAAGTTTTATTAAAAGCACTATTATTAGCAAATGAATGGAAAGAATTACCTGTTGATTGTCCATCAATTATTTCACCTTTAAAGCAAAATAATATAATAATGGTTTAATTTGAAAAGATAATAGTCATTTCACGTTTTTGGGCCACAAGAAAATGTATAAAAAGATGCATAAAATACTCACCATACAGTAGCAGTATTGAAACACACAATGAGAATATGAACCTCATTGTGAATAACGGCACCTCCTACACCTGCGCACACACATATACACGTGAAATATGTATTTCTATAAGTATTGTAGTAAATTTAGTTGAATTTGTTGTCAACAGTTGGGAAAACAATTTAAAAGCAGTTGTTTACCGATGTTTATACAAACTTTTATGACATATATTACACAATAATATGTTACTTATAATTTAGATTTATCAAAAGCAGATGATTGAAACTGTGATAACAGCGCAGTGGGATAAAATGAGGCAAAATAACTTTACCTGAGACAAAATGTTGATACACAGCAAACTCCAAAACACAGTAATGCTTAATCCAGTTACAGAATACAATGAAGAAAGAACTTCGGGTCTTACAATTTTGTCTAAGACTGTATTAATAAATGTGGGTGGACCTTTTCTAAAACCTGGGTTGGGTTAAACAATACACCACCTCCAACAATAATTCAAACCAGTTTTTCTTTTTCTTTTTCTTTTTCTTTTTCTTTTCGTCACATGACGACAGTATTTCTTTGTGCACCTGCCACTGAGAAAACATTTTTTTAGCCTTGAATAGATGGACATAGATAGAACGTCACATGACGACAGTATTTCTTTGTGCACCTGCCATTGAGAAAACATTTTTTTAGCCTTGAATAGATGGACATAGATAGAAGACAATCAGATTAACCTGTATTATGATGAGACACATTCCCAAAATCATTACAGTTTTTCAGACTATTTTACAGTTGCTTTTCCAGATTTGCTCAAACTGGTCAATGTTCTCAAAACAGTTTATGGAGCCATCTGAACAATTCTTAATTTTCTTAAACATACTGTAAATGATTCATGATTTAATACAAGTTATATACAACATTTTTTTGTATTAAAATTCTACACACAAACATCTCTGATTCAAGGTTCAACTGTTAACACTACAGCTAAGCCATACTTTCACAAAGCACAATTTATGAAATGTTCATTTAACAATTTTATTTTGTATAATTAGATTTTTCTATGTATAATTTAGTTACTGGAAGAAGTGCAGCATGGAATGAACATAAGAGAAGAAATAGGAGGAAGAGGAGAGATGATAAAAGAAAGAGTGGAGGAAGTAGAAAGAGATGATGGGAGAAAAGCAGGAGATGATGTATGAAAAAGAGAGGAAGAAAAGAGAATAAGAGTGGAGGACTTTTAAAGATAAACATTAAATGTACATAAAGGACACAGGGGAACCTCAAATAAACCAATCTAATTGTGATTGTGTTTTAAATCAGTGCTGTCCTGTGCTGTCTTTGTGCCATAAAATACAGAAAGATCAATTAAAGTAAGATTTATACTGAAAGCCTACTCATCCTCATCCATTGTAATAAACGAACCAGAACTGACACATCGAGAGTCTGTTTGGATGGCTGTTTTCATTGTTTTTGAGATCATTTGGCTTAGTCTGAACAATTTGGGTAAAATCAGTGTTGTGAATCCATAATGACGTAAATTGCAATCTTTTTAAACCACATTACGTAGTTTTCCACTATCATAGTGGTTTGTGAGATTGATGTGACCTACCCACATGGTGAATAACCTCATTTAAAGGCAGAATTCAGCCCTGACAAATCAGCACCTTTCCCGCTGTGATACTTTGAGTTGTTTTATTATTTCTTTTATAGTTTCTAACTCATTTGTTAAAATTAATTTACTGTATATATTCAATCTTACTAAGTACTTTTCACTTCATGTTGTTTTGCAATTGCTATAGCTGAAAACAAAAATATGAATCTTGGGTGGATCTGTGCCCTCTGGCCCTTTTATGGCCTCGCCCATGATATAGACAGCAGCAGCATAATGACGTGCATGTATGTGTATGTGTGTTATGAGCATTTTTTTGTGTGTGCCAAAATGCAGCGTCTTTTTATTTCCAAACTATTCTTATATATTGACTGGGAGAGGCAACCGTCATTCAAGGTGGATCAAAGCCGTATGCAGCCTCACCTGTCTGAACAATCAGTGCAATAACAATACATATGTTTTGGTGATGTAAGAAATAATTAAACCTCACCCTATCAACCAGTGCTGCAACATTCTTCAGATCCTTTAGAAAGGAAGGTTCATTGCTACACACAATTGATGCAAATAAGTATCAATATCATCACAATAGCAAATAAAGACAAGGGCACAGATGGTATTAGAATATCAATATCACATTTATCTCAATGTTATAGGCCTATTACTCAAAGGGAAACAGATCATGAAGCCAGCTTTGTTACATCACTTGATCTTTTGCTTTGTCCTTTTATTTCATATTTGAACAAGCATGTTGTATTATATCCCTGTCTTTTATGTAAGATGCATTTATTGCATTATACATAATGTACATCAGAATTAAATTGTAATGATTTTATGCTTGTGGGTGAACACATTACATCATTACAATACTGACATTTTGAGACCTACAACCAGTTAGGTCACTTGCATATTCATTAATATACTGTATTCATATATAACTTAATATAGATATTATGTGTAGAGAAAATCATCATGATGACGCAGCAGATCGAGATACATCCAGCTGCAGAACCACAGGCCAGCAGCGTCAAGCCGGAAGTGGGCGGAGCAAAAGTTATCTTACTAAGCATAGCGCCAGGTAGTGTTTTGGATCTACCTTGATGTCAAGTCAGCATTTTATTATAACGATTTAATCAGATGATAGGTAGATGAGGTAGATAGACAAAATGAAGCTTGAGGATTTGAACATTTCATTATTATTTATTTTTTTACAGTTATTTTTCCATTATACACACTATCATACATAAGTAGCAAAATAAAATAAAACTAAAGAAAATAAAACAAATGTTAAAGCAAAGCAGGCACACATTTAACAATAATTATCAAAATTGACAAAAGAAAACTAAAATAAAATAAAAAATCGAGAAACATACAATTTATTTTGAGGCCCTTTTTGTCCATGCACTCATCGAGAAAAATGTCCATATTATCATTAAATTGGAATTGGTCAACAAAAGGTTACTTGGCCAGTTGCTGGTCGTCAGCCATTTCGGCCTGTGAAAGCTGAAGAAGAGCTTTCTTCTGGTCTTCCTCTTTCAGTTTGAGGAGCCTCAGCTCTTTCACCAAACCTCTGAAGACACAGAAGTTTTTCCGCAGCTATCCAACTGCAGTGTGGAGGTCTTTTGTTATCCTTGGCTCCTGAATGAGGTGTAACAATCAAATGGAATGAAGTGCTGGAAAGACCTTCAATAATACTGTGCATTCAATAACACATATACTAAAAAAAATCATGAGCTTTAGTCAGGATGTAGCAAGCATTATCAAGTTATGATTGTTTTGTTTTTTTTCTCAAGTGCCCCTATTTGAGATATAACAAACATACCCTGCTGCAGATTTCAATCTCCTGCTCTTCCGGCACTTGCACGCAGTGAGGACATGTTTCCTGCGAAAAAATTATGGTAATTTGTAGTCTGCTGGACAGAGAAAAACATAAGCGAGAAAAAGATACCTTTCAACAGCAAAATTTTCCAAGAGAATGAGGCACCACCATTTTAGTATTAGAGCAGTGTTTCTCAACCCTGGTCCCGGGCGCCCCCCAGCACTGCACATTTTGTGTGTCTCCCAAATCAAACACATCTGATTCAACTCATTAGCTCATTAAAAGAAACACCAGGACCTGAAATGGGTGTCAGATAAGGGAGACACATGTCTCAAAATGTGCAGTGTTGGGGGGCGCTCAGGACCAGGGTTGAGAAACACTTTAGAAAGGAAGGTTCATTGCTACACACAATTGATGCAAATAAGTATCAATATCATCACAATAGCAAATAAAGACAAGGGCACAGATGGTATTAGAATATCAATATCACATTTATCTCAATGTTATAGGCCTATTACTCAAAGGGAAACAGATCATGAAGCCAGCTTTGTTACATCACTTGATCTTTTGCTTTGTCCTTTTATTTCATATTTGAACAAGCATGTTGTATTATATCCCTGTCTTTTATGGAAGATGCATTTATTGCATTATACATAATGTACATCAGAATTAAATTGTAATGATTTTATGCTTGTGGGTGAACACATTACATCATTACAATACTGACATTTTGAGACCTACAACCAGTTAGGTCACTTGCATATTCATTAATATACTGTATTCATATATAACTTAATATAGATATTATGTGTAGAGAAAATCATCATGATGACGCAGCAGATCGAGATACATCCAGCTGCAGAACCAAAGGCCAGCAGCGTCAAGCCGGAAGTGGGCGGAGCAAAAGTTATCTTACTAAGCATAGCGCCAGGTAGTGTTTTGGATCTACCTTGATGTCAAGTCAGCATTTTATTATAACGATTTAATCAGATGATAGGTAGATGAGGTAGATAGACAAAATGAAGCTTGAGGATTTGAACATTTCATTATTATTTATTTTTTTACAGTTATTTTTCCATTATACACACTATCATACATAAGTAGCAAAATAAAATAAAACTAAAGAAAATAAAACAAATGTTAAAGCAAAGCAGGCACACATTTAACAATAATTATCAAAATTGACAAAAGAAAACTAAAATAAAATAAAAAAATCGAGAAACATACAATTTATTTTGAGGCCCTTTTTGTCCATGCACTCATCGAGAAAAATGTCCATATTATCATTAAATTGGAATTGGTAAACAAAAGGTTACTTGGCCAGTTGCTGGTCGTCAGCCATTTCGGCCTGTGAAAGCTGAAGAAGAGCTTTCTTCTGGTCTTCCTCTTTCAGTTTGAGGAGCCTCAGCTCTTTCACCAAACCTCTGAAGACACAGAAGTTTTTCCGCAGCTATCCAACTGCAGTGTGGAGGTCTTTTGTTATCCTTGGCTCCTGAATGAGGTGTAACAATCAAATGGAATGAAGTGCTGGAAAGACCTTCAATAATACTGTGCATTCAATAACACATATACTAAAAAAAATCATGAGCTTTAGTCAGGATGTAGCAAGCATTATCAAGTTATGATTGTTTTGTTTTTTTTCTCAAGTGCCCCTATTTGAGATATAACAAACATACCCTGCTGCAGATTTCAATCTCCTGCTCTTCCGGCACTTGCACGCAGTGAGGACATGTTTCCTGCGAAAAAATTATGGTAATTTGTAGTCTGCTGGACAGAGAAAAACATAAGCGAGAAAAAGATACCTTTCAACAGCAAAATTTTCCAAGAGAATGAGGCACCACCATTTTAGTATTAGAGCAGTGTTTCTCAACCCTGGTCCCGGGCGACCCCAACACTGGACATTTTGTATGTCTCCCTAATCTGACACACCCATTTCAGGACCTAGAGTTTCTTTTAATGAGCTAATGAGAATCAGGTGTGTTTGATTAGGAAGACACACAAAATGTGCAGTGCTGGGGGGCGCCCAGGACCAGGGTTGAGAAACACTGTATTAGAGGAAAATCAAACTGGCAAATAAGGAAAAACAAATATTAATATATCATCAAATTGAATTAAGTCCCAATTAACTTTTAAACAACAACTTACAGCTGTGAAATCAAAGGGCATTTCAAGGACCATGTATAGAGCATACTGAAAAATTAGGGCTGTCAGTCGATTACAATTTTTAATCTAATTAATTACATTATGTGTCGATTAATTCATCTAATTAATCGCAAACTACATTTGGATGTGAAAATACCCCCAAAAGAAATAAATATTTTATTTGATTCAACATAAAATGTATTACATGGTTTGGCTACAATGGCCTAACATAAACTATTCAACATAAAAGAAGATCATTTGAGAAACATCTCAGTTTTTTTCATTTATGCAATGGAAGTCATTGATAACCAAGACAGCTTTGTTACCAACAGTCTTCAAAATACCTTCTTTTATGTAAGTCATTTAGGTTTGAGTAAATGATGACATAATTAAATTTTAATTGTTGAACTATTCCTTTAAAGTGTTTTTTATTAAATAATACTCTAAATAAGAAACTAAAACTGCCAGCAGGTGGCGGTAAATGTGCTTATGAGTCATTGATTCATTTGATTCGTACAAACGGCTGATTCATTCAGGAATTCCGTAAACGGCTCTCTTTATGAATGGGTTTTTGAATCATTGCTTCACCCGATTCGTTCAAAACGCGGATTCTTTCAAAAAAACTAATCACAGCTGTGTTGCTCTGAGATGCACAACAATTCTGCTGTGGCTTTATAGGAAATATTTGTTGGCAAAACAGCAAAAAACAGACAATATTGTGTTATATTGTATATAACACAATAATATAATTAGACAATGATATAGTATATAATATATGATACCCAATAATATAACTGCATATATAATTGTGTTATATTGTAAAATATAACACAATATTAACTTCTTATTTACTGAACTGTTGTGTAAAATCAAAGTTGGGACAAACAGCACTCGTGTGATTGCTCTCGCTGCTCGTGTGATATCGCTTATATAAATATGAGACAAAAAAAAACTCATACAGGAGTATTTTTGCCCCAATATCTTGAATTTTAGGGCATAGCTGCATTTATGGAGTTGTTGCCCTGCATCATATCAAAGTCCCATTCTATAGTCTTTGATCATATTTGATCATTACACAGACACACACTCATAGCCTATATATATATATATATATATATATATTAATAACTATTCCTTTTCCTCACCATCAACATGAAGATCCAACAATCAACGGAGTCAGCCAACTGTTGTGGAACATTCTAAAATAATAGAATATCATTCAGTTACTCCTGGAATAAGAATATGACAACACATCATTTGTATTAGTAGCTTTGTTTTATGAAAGCCTTATAAATCTCACCTTCTTTTTGATCAGCTACCCTCATCTGTCTATATCATCTGATTAAATCGTTATAAAACAAATGCTGACTTGACATCAACATAGATTAAAGGGGTCATATGATGCAATTTCAATTTTTCCTTTCTCTTTGGAGTGTTACAAGCTCTTGGTGCATAAAGAAGATCTGTAAAGTTGCAAAGACTAAAGTCTCAAATCCAAAGAGATATCTTTATAAAAGTTAAGAGTCAACCACGCCTACCTAAAACGGCTCGTTCTAACACGCCCCCACATGTCAACGTCACGATGTGGGAAGATTTGCATAACGCCGCCCAAATGTTCACGCAAAGAAAGAAGGCGTAACTTTTATTCTCGCTGTAGTATTGTTGCTGCCGCCGCTGCCATGTCGTGAAGGCACTGTGTGTTTTGTTGTGAAAGCGAAACTACTTTGTTTGATCTTCCAAAAGAGGACGATATCCACTTCGTGGATTGTGGATTGCCGGATCGGCTTTCACCGTGGACGAAGCGGAGTCCAGCCCGGGGTTGTCACATGTGGTTGCCGCAAGCCCGCCGGA